GAGTGTTTCACAGCTCCTTCCTTTCAAATGTTCCTGAAACAAATGGAAAACGTTAATAATTGACATTATGGCATTCTCAATGGTCAGGCATGAGAAAGCTTAATGGCGTACATATTCTTTTAGCTAAATTATGCTTGTCAAAGAGGGACTAGAAGGGTGAAATAACCCATACAGCTTTCTATGGAACCTCTCCATTCAAATTCCATCTATCACGCTTGCTGTTCAATTGTGGAATAGTTTAACCTTTATCTGAGGAAGATAGAAATTGGCAACACCAATTAGAACTTTGTTGCAGAATAAGTACAATTAGAGTGATAGATTGTAGATGCTAAGAATTAATCTATAGAATTCGGAAAGCACACGAAAGCTTGAGACATTTCTTTGGATTTGTAAGTGGAGTCTCTAGCCTGTTCTAATATAAAAACCCATTTCTTCTATCTTAACAAATAACCCTCTACAGGAGTCAGACTTTAACTCCCTAATTCCCAGCTCCATTTCTATTAAAGATCCATATGTATCTGGAGGGCTGCAGTTTGGGAAGCAACATGCATACGTTCTGCTACTGGCTGATAGTAATCATTTAAAATCACAATTTCAATAACAAAGATTGTCTTAATAAAGGAAAAGCATAGCTCCACCCGACATTTTATTATTAGAAGCTACTGTGGATTCTGTCAGTCAAATTACAGAATTACTATGCTATCTTTTTCACAGCATATTATGTGAACTTTGTAACCTTTCTATTTAAATCCAGTTAGCAACTGAAAGCAAGAATATGTCTAAAGATCATGGTTTGTTCTTTACCTGAAAGTTCTGTGTCAGAATTCCCAAATGCCTCTCATTAAAAGATTTTGATTGTGATGGATGTTCTAGCCATTAGTTGCTATTTTTGCTATAATTCCTAGGCATAAATTTGAAGTCAGGATTATCCCTTTTAACTTTTTCTAGATCTATTTTACAATTTTCCCACCTTTTCAGATGTGATAGGTGTCGTATAGTGAAGAAATACGACAGGGTTGCAGAAACAAAAGACACAGATGAAGCTAGAGCATTCCACTCAAAGGAAGAGGCCAAACCAGTAGTGGGGTGCTACTGGTTCACCCCAGATTGGGTGAACCAGTAGCTGTGGCGGCAGGAGGCTCCTCCCACCTGCCCAGACATCTCTGCGCATATGCACGAACACCCATGAGCGAACCGGTAGTGACAGGATTTGAAACCCACTACTGGGCCAAATAGTCTATGGCAGAGTTTCCCAATCTTTCCAGCTTTGTGGACCGGTGTGTGGGAGAGAGTAAATGGTTCTGCCTGAGTGGCCTGCCAATCACATAAATGGAACATGCTTGCCCGCTGCTCATGCAAGTGGGGATGCACATGTGCCCATGCTCACCAGATATTTCTGTGGCTCAGTTGCAACAGCTCATGGCCCATTAGAGGGCCATAGCAAATTTCTTCAATATGAATTAACAAGCTGACTTTCCTGAATGAACTGAATGTTCATTCCTGCCTGTGATTTAAACTTGATTCAGAAATTCCATCATTTGAAAAAATGAAAAGCTATTTTTAAAATAGCTTTTCATTTTTTCAAATGATGCATTAATATTAATAGGTATAAATAATTTGGTTAGAATTATTTTACATTAACTCAAATCAATCTATAATATGCTCATTGATCAACTTAGATATTAATATCTCTTTGACAGGTTATTTATGTATAACATTTAGAGCAATAGATATTAATGAATGGTTAATTACTTTTTGGTCTAAGCCTATTTCTTTTCTTGTTCCTTGCACTTAGAAACATCTCAGTTCATTTTATATGTTTGGTCCATAAATTGTGATTGATGTTTCTGCTAAACTTTTACCTACAGATTTACATACAAAGCAAAATTTAAGAGCACAACTTGTTATCATTTAGCTTCATCCATAAACTAAATATGTTTGTTCAACATAACTGAACTATTCCATGTTCTGGATTTTTACAATATAATGAATAATAAACTGATCAAACAATAAATTTCTGGCTTAATAAAAACACTAACGTCACAAAGCCTAACCCTCATTAATTAAGTCGAGTTTGCTCAAGAATTCATTTAATTTAGGAAAGACTTGTGAATTAATATAGTTACCATGATATCTCAATATCATGATAGCCCTCAGGAAAACATAAGTACTGGTCTCCATTTGTTTTTCTTCCCACACTGAATATTTTGGTGGGAATCACTTTATTCTTCCTTAAGACAATTTTACTTTATCGAGGTACTTCTTACAAAATCTCATTTAGTGGAATCAAATTTTTCTTAGACGCTTATCTTGTGCATCTTACCTTTTGCCTCTTACCTTTTACCAAAGAAACTTTGCCAGATTCTGTCTTGTATTTTATGACTTGTCTCTAGAGGCATTCTGACAAGCATCTACCTATTAAGCGGGAAGCTCTCTCTCCCTTTTCCTCACTTTAGTATGTTTGCAAATACAGGCTACCAAAAAATAACATATCTGGAATGCAGATATAGCAAGGAATCATTTATTTAGTGGACACTGCAGATGACCTCCAAGCTTCCTCAGGCTAAAATTGTATTTCTCAAACTTAGCAACTTTAAAATGCATGGACATTAACTCCCAGAATTTCCCAGCTAGCCAGGCTGACTAGGAAATTCTGGGAACTGATATCCACAAATTGATTTAGAAAGAGTGACCTAAAGAGGGACTATTTAATGTCATTTAACAAAGCAAATACTTCCAGAATTGCCTTAAATAAAATTTAATCATAGGTGAGACAAGGAAATACCTGGCCATATTCTATCTCCCAATTTTCCCTACTCATTTTTTTTCTGAAATTGTACATTGCCAATAACATTAGAAATTCAGATATCAAGATTGCTTCAGAAATTATACTTTGCATTTCCTTGAGAGCGATACTATCACCCCTACACCAGAGCCAACATAAGGTTCACTTAAATTATTCATGCTCTGTGGCTCCACTTTTACATTTACATTTGATTATAATTACATTAATTAAATATAATTAATATGCATCATATTGTGGATAGGTTTTTGAGATACTCTGGGAACTATACTCAAGGTTCCTGCAGCAAGGTCTCAGTTTGTTACTTCTGCCTTAAAACCACAATATGTTAAATTATGTGGGAAATTACAATGGCATTCCCACATTTTTATCTATCATAGCAGGAACAATAGTTGTCTCAATCCCTTAAAGAAAGCCAGATGTGTCCGTTGGTACTTGTGGTCCCACTACATCTGGAAATGTACAGGTAATCCTCAATTTACGATCTCAATTGAGCCCAAAATTTATGTTGCTAAGTGAATCCTTTGTTAAGTGAGTTTTGCCCATTTTACAACTTTTCTTGCCAGAGTTGTTAAGTGAATCACTGCAGTTGATAAATTAGGAGCATGGTTGTTAAGTGAACCTGGCTTCCCCATTGACTTTGCTTGTCAGAAGGTTGCAAAAGATCATATGACCCCAGACATTGCAACCGTCATAAATATAAATCAGTTGCCAAGCATCTGAATTTTGATCATGTGACAGTGGGGATGCTGCAATGGTCATAGTGTGAAAAACGCTCATAAATCACTTTTTTCAGTGATGTTATAATTTTGGACAGTCACTAAGTGAAATGTTGTGAGTAAGGACTGCCTGTACCATGTAGCAGAAAGCAGCACTGGACACATACATAAAACAGCTAATCTAACATTTTAAACCATCAGGATATAGATTTTTTTCCTCACCGTTCCTTAACATTACAGGAATCCTTGCTAGACTTTAATTTTTGTCTACATGGATAACTGAATATATATTTAATAGGCACTGTTGGGAGAGCATTCATGAAATACAGGGCTGTTAATTTTTTTAAATTTGTTAAAAAAAAATTTAAATTTTTTTTTAAATTTGTCAAAAATCTATGCCACTGAGTTGTAATGAACTCACAGTGGCTAAAGAACATTATAAAAAGTAAGAAAACCCTTATAACTCCAAATCCAAACAAAGCCCCAATGAATTACACACAATACCAATAAACTAGTTAATCAAATCCAGTGCACAATCTTTCATCAAAATCTATCAAAGATTGGTCTTCATTATCTTCTGGAAGGCCATCACCAAAGAAACAAACTAGCTTCTAGAAAGAGGCTTTTGTAGGCTATCAATGTCGTGATGTAAAAGCAGTTTTTCCTAGCTCAGGGATCATCACTACATGAAATTGGAAGACCACAAGCAGCTTCTTCCAGGATAATCTCTTCAAACAGATCAGTTGTAGTTGACATAGGTACCTGGAGGTATCTATGTGCCAAGTTAGGTACAGCTTTATAAATTAAAACCAGCACTTCAACTATAGGGTTGATAGAATATCCAGTACTAAGTGTCCTAGTTGTAGCTGCTTGAAGAAATCCACATTAGGAGAAAGAAGCAGAAGGACAAAACAAAATTACAGTGTGGTTATCTTGTCACCTTGCATTGTTCCAAGGCCTCCCACTTTTTCTACATCAGAGCATCCAGAAGTGCCTGAATAGCTATGCTCTAGTAGTGCATTGAACGTATCCATCTCAAACAGAGTGGGATTATTGGGAAGAAATTAGCTACTGCTCCTTTCAAACTGAACTGAAACAGTTAGATAGCATACCTAATAAAATTCAAACAGTACTCAAGGATCTTAGACATTTTTAAAAACAAAGAAAGCAACCATTTGCCATTATGGAACACATATTTCAACCATATGCTTTCATAAAAATATTCTATTGTCCTTTTTCTTAACATTTTACATTGCAACATCATTTTCCTTCTCACATCTAGTTCTCCTTTGAACTTTAATAATGAACATAAAGTTCTGCTTAGATTATCTCAGTGACCCTTAGACTTTATTATATTGGAAATCATAAACTACATCCAAAGAACTATAAAAAGGATAGAATTACAGTTAATTCTTTTTGGAGAACACCATTTCATATTCCATAGCTAAACTATCCTTGGATTTAATCACCTAGCAGCAATGCCAGCCGATTACAATGGAACATGGGAAATGGTATTAAATGAAAACTTTGAAGGTTATATGATTGCTTTAGGTATGTATAAACTTAATTCAAATGATTAAGTTCTATCTTTACAATACAAGAAGGTACTTTGAACACAACTGCTTAAGCATGTATTAAATTGTAAAATCAGAGATAATTCAAATATTTTTAAAGCAGTGCTTTACATCCCATGGAAGGCATATGAATTCTTCGACTTACTTTATTGTAGACCATGACCATATGCATGCAAAGTAGTATAGATTAACATAAAATAATTCAAAACCTAAAATTACAACCTAAATTTATGTACACTGTTCAAAAGTTTTAGCACTGCCAATCAAGGCAACAGTAGTAAATTATTCTTTCGTACTACGAAGTACCATGCATCATGTGACCATTTTTATGTATATCTCTGGCAAATACGAAAATGGCTTACAAAACTGGGAACAGCTTCAAATTGGGTGATGAGGGACTTCTACTTATTTTTATGGACTGTAGACCTTATGAGACTATATTCTATTGATTCAATATAATAATGGATACTTGCCTAACAGGAGAGAACATGAAGGCTGTGCCAAGATGGCAATAGTTGTGCATTCACTCGTGTAATTTTCCCATATGCAAGAATCTTGACTGCATAAATTGTGAAAGTGTTTTTCCGTGTTTCTCTATTTCTACTCAACAAAACCATTAAGAGTTGGGTGGCATGCAAGTTTAATAAATTAAAACAGCCAAAACATAAGCAGAATTCTGGAAAATAATAGAAACCCTCCTTTTCTCTACACAGATTTGATCAACTTTCTGACAATAGCAGGAACCTGGCCCTGAAAATATAATATTTCCCATCTATGCTTCAAGAGTACATTTATCCTCAATACAAATTAGGGAGCATTGAAATGTTCAGTAAAACATATTCTACCGGTATTTAAGATTAGTGCAACTATGATTGCAATGCCCAGGACAGAAATGGGATAATAATTCTCCTCCATTATTAAAGTATTTAATAAGGCTATTTCATTCATTCAGATCTCGGATATCTTCTGCTTGTGTTCCCTTTATTTTTTTGAGCAGAGTGTGTGTGTGTGTGTGTGTGTGTGTGTGTGTGTGTATGTGTGTGTGTTTTTCTTTTAGCCAGGTTTTTCCTACGTAAGCAAGGTTTTTCTGCAGCCCTAGCTCAGTGGAGTCACATCCACTCAATTCTGGGCTTTTTTTTTCCTGGCAGCCAGCAAGCCCTTGCTGCCTGGTGAGAGACTTGCTGGCTGCCAGAAAGAAAAAAAGCCCTGAATCGAGTGGATGTGACTCCACTGACCTAGGGCTGCAGAAAAACCTTGCTTACGTAGGAAAAACTTGGCTCAAAGAAAAACACACATAAATCCTATGAAGAAGTAAGTATATATATATATATATATATATGTGTGTGTGTGTGTGTGTGTGTGTGTGTGTGTGTATGTGTATGTGTATGTATGTATTTCTCTTTAGCCAGGTTCTACCTACGTAAACCAAGATATTCTGCAGCCTAGTTCAGTGAAATCACAATTCACTGAACTAGGGCTGCATAATATCTTGGTTTACGTAGGTAGAACCTGGCTAAAGAGAAATACACATAAAACCTACGAAAAAGAAACAAAAACATATATATATTGAGAACATTATGCTTTGTATTCTCTCATACAACAGATCTAATCTTAATTGAGTAATCTAAAGATTATGGTTGCCAGATTTTAAAAAGAAAAAAGGAAATCAGTAGTATTGCTGCATGGTAGAGTTGTTCTTATTCATTTCACTTTCTACCTAATAATGAATTGCATATATAAACTCTGATTTACTGTAATAGCATATGCATACTAAGGGACATCAAACAAACAGACAAAAATTACTGTTAGCATTGAACAGATGGTTGGTATATTAACAAAACTAGTCAACTGTTTGGAGTTCCTAGACTGAATATGAGCTCTAATTCTCAAGCTGTCAGTTCTAAAGAGTGCTGAGTTTCAGATGTACACCTCCTGCAGATAGTGCCAGCCATCAGTGGGGCAATCATTTTGCAAAGGTTCTCTTTTTATTATACATATTATACCTGTTGCATATTCTTTCCTCTGAACAGTAACCAGGCAATGATATATTAGTATTACATTCTCACTTCATTAATGACTTCTGGGACAGGTTTCTTCTTATATATAATTACATTAGTTGCAATACAATAAGCACACTAGTATAACTATCGGTGTCAATATTTTCAATATTTTATCATATTTATGTATGCCCTTTTTACTTTCACAAGAAAGTAAAAAGGAATATAACATAACTGTGCATCAGAATAGGAAATCTGGGGGAAAATTAAATTAAATTAAAATTAAAATATTTACTGTGTTTAACAAGGGATAATTTTTTGTTCAGGTTTTTCTAACTAAAAACAATACCAAAAAATTCAATAAAAGAGCAAACTGTATTCATATTTTATAAGAATAAAATGTATTATTTCACAGGGTAATGTAAAGGATGGCAAAATAAGATATCTATGTCTATCTCTCTCTCTCTCTCTCTCTCTCTCTCTCTCTCTCTCTCTCTCTGTATGTATGTAAGTATGTATGTATGTATGTATGTATGTATGTATGTATGTATGTATGTATATGTTTATTTATATTTAAGTGCCACTAAATTATTTCTTGGGTAGGATTGTACTATGTCTCTCTTGAGGAAACTGGCTAGATATTTTAGCTGCAAAATATTATCTACTTTGAAAAAGCATTCAATTTTATTTATCAAATATTCTAAGCTTTCACTGGCATCTGCAAAGAGGAACAAAATGAGCAAGATGCAGATGCATCATGATTCAAGTTCCACCTCTTTAATACCTCTCACACGTGAACAAATGGTCTAGGGCTTACATCACAACACTGCATTTGCTGTTTTATGCTTTACAATCTTATTCAATCAGTGGCAATCGCTAGAGGGGGAAATGGATAATAAATGACACAGCTCTCATTCTTTAAGCTTTTGGCTGACAGAGGTGAAATACATCTTGAGTTCAAGGACGTGTTTACAACAATCTTGACTGACTGCTATTCCCACTGATCAATTTGTTTAGATCGTCACTAGCATCTTTTACTGAAATATGACAAGAAAGAAATCAGTCCAGTATATTCTTTTTTGTATTTAATCTTTTGTATGCCATATCCTATTCTGATCATGAGAGCAATAGCACCTAGACTTATATATTGCTTCACAGTACTTTTACAATCCTCTCTAAGCAGTTTACAGAGTCAGCATATTGTCCCTAACAATCTGGGTCCTCATTTTACTGACCTCGAAAGGATGGAAGGCTGAGTCAAACTTGAGACGATGAGTCTCAAACTGTTGAACTGCTGGCAGCCGGCAATCAGCAGAAATAGCCTGCAGTACTGCATTCTAACCACTGCGTCCCCATGGCTCATGATCAAAATAAAGTGATAACAAAAGCCATTGTGTAACAGAAGGCAATGACGGTTAAGCTACAAAACTACTAATGGTTTCTACCCATTTCTTCAAAGCCAGATCTGAACATAATAAGATGAGACAGCCAGTTTGGTCTAGTGGTTATGGCACCAGGCTAGAAAGCAGGAGACCGTGACTTCTAGCCTTGCCTTTGCCAGAAAAGTCAGCTGGGTGACCTTGTGCCAGATGACTTTCCCGAGAGTCTCTCTCTCTCTCTCTCTCTCTCTCTCTCTCTCTCTCTTTTTCTGTCTCAGCCCAACTCACCTCACAGGGTGGTTGTTGTGGGGAAAACTTTAGAATTTGCCACAATGAAATTTAGTAGCTGACTGGCTTGAAAAAAAAGATTGGACTAATTCATGGAAGTGATGAGGAACAATAGATATTACCTACTGTTGCTCAGACAACAAGACACTTCAGTTGCAGATAGGACATTCTTTCATCTTGTGCTGTCCCTGATGCTCAACCAACCTTCTCCATCATGTTACTTCCTTTTTGTTACAGCACTACAGCACTGCTCCAGAAAGATAACTAAATATCTTTATTTGAGGGGTGTTAAAGAAATTGTATGTGCCTTGTTTGACATCAGAAACCTTGGCATACAATAGGTTCTGGTGTGAAGAATTGATCATAAAACTCAGTTTACTAGCCAGGAGGAGAACAGTAATAGTTAGAGAACTTGAATGGTAATGGCACAAGTAATTATCTGATTGACAGAGAAAGAACTTTGCATTCAGAATCCTATTTGATAATTGCAGTTTCTAACGTACCACATCAGCATATAATTAACATTTGTACAAGTCTATAAAAGTAGCCTTAGATAATGAGATATTCTTCTAGTGGAAAATACGCATAAATGTATGTATGTGTAAGTATATGACCTCTTTTAGAACACAGTCTTGAATGTGTTTTCCTAGAAAATCAGTCCCACTGTTTTCAATGGGAAATACTTACAGATCTTTATGTGGAGGTCTGCTATCTTGAGATAAATTCCTACTCAAAAATGGGCAGGCATGCAATTTAACAAGGGGTTTTTGTGATGCATAGACCACTTCAAAATAACTTATTAAAAATCAGTTCATAGTATAGAAGAGATGCGAACTCCCCTTAAAAAGCCAAAAAGTCTTATTAGGCATCTGCCTAATAACCTCACAAGTTTGTGTTTTTACATTTAGAAACTGAATTTAATCAGGCACATTGTTAAAATGCATATCTTTTATTCCATCTGCAGGCATCGATTTTGCTACCCGTAAGATTGCAAACCATCTAAAACAAACAAAAGAAATTATTCAAGATGGAAACAATTTCAAGACAAAAACACTGAGCACTTTCAGAAACTATGAATTGAATTATACCACAGGAGTGGAATTTGAAGAGCACACCAAGGGGCTTGATAGTCGAGTTGTGAAGGTAGAAAACCTATTATTTGTTTCCCATTTACACAGCAGTCAATATAAGCCCCTGACATTCAAGTAAACAGGTTGAAAGCAAATTAAGATGTTAAAGAAATGCTTATTTATAAAGAAGCTTAAATTTGCATTTCAGAAACTAGACACTTTGCTAGTGCAACTATTTGTTCTATATGCAAATCATGACAATTTCTCAAGCAGATGACAGCAAGGTAAAATTACTTTTTATTTCCTTTCAACTCTTCATGGCTCCAGACTGTTATATTTCCCTGGTTGACAGCCATGCTTCATAGTTTGGCACAGAGAAAAGCAGATTCCTGTTAGTCACAATAGTCACTGCTATTTATTCTTCTAGGCTGCAGCACACAAAACATTTTACTTACAGTGAGCAAAACTATGTTAGAACCTACTGTTTTTGCAAAGCCTCTTACCCAACTTGAAGCCTTTCAAATTCATCTCGCTGTTATGATGTAAGATGGCCTTTCCTCACTATCCTGCAAACAAAAGCTGACCAGACTGGAAGTTGAAATGTCAGGTCTGGAGAAGATAGAGAAATTGGGAAAACCTTTAATGTATATTACAAGTGCAATCTAGTTTTTCCTGCTGTCTTCCAATCAACAGCCAGTCTGGCCTTGGGATGCTGGGTGCTGCTTGGATTGTTGATGAGTTTCATAGAACATATTGGTCAAATGCCAGCAAATGTTTGTTTTATTGTTTCCACCCTGGATTGAGACAGAATGAGATTGGCGACTAAATTTCACTAATACCAGTTTCATAATGTGTAACTCTTTGCACCTGATTCTAATAGTGTGTCAGAGAACCTAATGTAAATTGTGTCTTATGTGCCTCTATATCAGATCTCCAGAACAGAACAGCAAACATTACAATCACCTAATTATTTTTTCCAAGGAGAATGGAGAGATTTGCTACTTATAGCCAACATCTTCCTTATCATCCGTGACCTTTCTGTGCCCTGACATCACAGCATGCTCCTTATAACAAAGCCATCCTTTACCAGCCCTATTCAGGAGCACAAAACTGCTGCTTTGGTGAACTTTCAGCAACCTCAATTTTCTCTTTCTATCTCAGTCCTGTTATGTGACTACAGGAAGAAAAAGCACCTCATTTCTTTTATAATTCTCTCTGATTTCTTATCACGGTGATTTCTGCCCAGCATTCCTAAACCAACACACTGCTACTTATTTTTTTTTCCCAGCAAAAGCAGGGACTAATTATTTTTAAGGCAGTCATTCTGTTGCTTTCTGAGAATCAGTTTGATCTAGTGGTTAAGGGACCAGGCTAGAAATCAGCAGTGTGAGTTCTAGTCCCACTTTAGGCATGAAAGCCAGCTGGGTGACTTTGGGACAGTCACTCTCTCTCAGCCCACGACATCAGTCTTGGGCAACAAGCCAGTCAGTTAGTTCCCATCACAACCAATGAATTAACATTCAATTCATACTAAAAAAAAAAAAAGACCTTGTACATTTGGGAAAATGTTAAGAAGAAAAAATATCTGTACTTTCTACTTCAGTGTAGAGGCCAGCATGACCTTTTCCAGACTGAGTGTCCAAAGTGCGCCTGAATCCCCAGAATGCAATGTGCACGCAACAACCCTGTGCATGTGCCCCTGACACACGCCCTTCCCACGCATGCATGCACATGCCCCTGCCCCCCCACATGTGCAGCAGAGACCTGAAGACCAGCGGGAAGCACGCACACATGTGCGGCAGAGCTGAACTAGGGTGATGGATTGTGTGCCCACAGAGGGGGCGCTGTGTGATACCTCTGGCATGTGTGCCATAGGTTTGCCATTACGGGCCTATGCTATCTTTGCATTAACTTTAAAATTTCCAGCAAATTTTTACAATTTGCCATTAAGATTCAGTTAATGAAGAATCACCAAGAACAATATTTTCTTTTCAAAAAAAGAATTCGAAACAAAAAAAGGAGAGATTTTTACAGGATTTTTTACCAACCCCTTCCCTTCTTCCTGATATCATCTACTTTTTTGAAGATAGTCTGCAAGTTGAAAAAAAAAAGGTTACTCCTCAAGCTGAATAACCTATCCAAATTTGCTATATTTTAAAAGCTGTCTAGCCCAATTCAGGTCTACAGATTTTTCAAAAATAGTAAGAAAAAGGTGAATAGAGACTCTGAAAATATCCACCAACATTAATAAAATAGCGGGTTTGATGGTCAACAGAATAAAAATGTTTTGGGGTTGTTGGTTTTTTTTTTAAAAAAACTTTTTCTGCCCCTTTGCATGATGTTATTAGTACACTGAAATTCACCTTGCAATTTGTCAAAAGCTTTCTTACTGGTTCAGGAACTACCATTTGCTACCTTTTCCTCTGAGTATGCTTTGAATATGCTTTGAATTATTTTGCTGCTGTTATTCTTGGCATTGGCAGAATAGGACTGCTAGGATTGTTAACCTCTCTGTCATTCTGATACTTTCCTAGTTGCTAGGCTTTCCAGACTGAAAACACCCAAGATGCCTTCCTTGGGGTCTGATGGATGTATGGGAACTCAGGGAGGTTGTATATCACTGCAAAAATGACTGCAAAATGTTACATGGACATTCACACACAACTTCTTCATAATAAAATAAGTACAAAAACACCCACATGCCTCCAGTTTCCAGTGAAATTCCTTTCTCTTTGGAAAAAAATATACCGTATTGAAATGAAAAAAATATTTTCCACTAAACAAGGCATTACATAAACAAGCAGAGCAGGCTTTCATAAGGATGAAACTATCCTAATAATTTGATCTGTAAGGTGGTATCTTTCTTCAAGAAATTTTCAGTTGTTTTATCCTGTACTATGTCTCTAATAAATAGCTGCTTTATTTGCAACCTTGTAAAACAACTGGAAGATTTAATCATCAATTGTGTCACTTTTATACAAAATAATTTAATTTATTCTGCTGTGAGCACCACCTTAATTTCTTTACTGAAATAGAAATATGTGTGTGGATGTTGCATTCGTTTAAATAAAGCATGACTTTTCTATTGGAGATTAGTTACTTTGCTCTTAAAGCAGAAGCAAATTTCATATTGGTTTCCCTTTCTAGGCAACACTTCCATCATAAGTAATTTGTTTCTATGTTATTTCATGAATCAGGATGAAGAGCTGGGAACATGAAACATAAATGACAATCTTGGTTTGCAACCAGAATTTCAGTTTTTGCAGGGGAATGGCTGTATTTCCCTCCACACTTTTTTCTTTTTTGCCATTCCAGCTTTGAATATTTCAAATTTCTAGAATATTGCTTAATACTGTCTTTTAATCCTCGAAGACAACCGTGACCTGGGATGGTGACAAACTTGTCTGTGTCCAGAAAGGTGAAAAGAACAATAGAGGCTGGAAACATTGGATTGAAGGAGATAAACTGCATCTAGTAAGAACCAAATATATTGATTTTGTGTAATTAAAAACTGTTCCACATCAACTCACTTTTATAAGGATGTTTTAAAGGTTCAAGTACATCTACATTATATGTACCTGCATCTGTACCTGTATATTTATGCATGCTGTCTTGTTCTGAAACTGCTTGGATGTTCATTTTGGATCTGTTACTCTGTAATTTTTATCAGCACACATCAGACAAAGTATGAATAAGCAGCATGTGAAGTTCTAAACCTAAGGTTCAGATCTTTTCTTATAAAATGACCTTGGCCAGTCACTATTCCCATACAAGTTCCCTAATTATGCTACACTCCTGCTAACAAATGCCTTCAAAAAAGAGTCTATGCATGTACAATTGCATTATGTATGTGTTCTCCTTTTGTAGATATCATAAGAGTAGCATTAGGATAGATATTTAGATTGCTTGTCTGGAGAAGATAACGGATAACAGGGTTACTGATTCAGCCCCAAATGGCATCTGTTATAAAGATGAAATGTGACAATTTCATATATTTATTTATGGTTATATTTGATTTCTAAATTTGATATATACATTTATTTTATTTATATATTGAATTTAGAAATCAGCCACCTTCCTCACAGATGCTACCTGGAATAAGAATATTATATAAATAACATGTTTATGTGGGTATGTCTTTATTTAATAGGTTTATTAACTGCTTTTCAAGAAAATGCAAGCTGTGTTTTACTTCCTGTAAGAGCTAAATGGCTAATAGAATTCCTAACAAAACCAAGAAAAGAAATACTCCAGTTAAAAAAAAACCTAAAAAGTCAGATTATTTTGAAACTTGTGGTCCTTTCCATAAATATTGAGATGAATTTAAATTGATTTCATCACTGGGATACTGCATCTGTAGGGGCTTATCCTGTGTTTCCCCTTTGTTTCCTGAGCCAGGGTTACATGGGAGAAAGCAGTCTTTTATTGCCTTATAAGCCAGGGAATCACTACCTTAAACTGTGCCCCAAAAATAACAAATAATGTAAAATAATTAAGGCTAAAGCAAAATAATCTGATAAACATTCACTGGTCTACTCTGAATTTAAAGGAATATCTTCTTATCCTGGATTAAAGCATGAGACTCCTTTTCATGTTAAGAAGAAATAAAATTGGTTCTGTTTGGTGGAATAGTGGGAGATGAGCTATAAACATATAAAAGCACTTTTGTTTCACCTGTCAGTTTTACTATGAGATAGCCTACAGATTATGTCAATCATAAAGAACAGCACTGAAGGCAGTGAGGCCATTATAGTGAGTAACAAATTCCATTTATTTAAAGAGGAAATCAATCTCAGAATATCCTTTCAACAGTACCTATGGATTTAAATGGTACTTCTTTTATGTTGAAAAGTCCCTCTAGATAAGGAGATAAGCAAGCAAATATGAAGCAGCATGGCAGAGTTGGGATTCTCCAAACTTTTTCACAATCAGAAATGATATAAAAGTGTGCAACCTACCACTCAAACCATACTATCATTTCCTTATACCGTCTCAGCTCCATTAGTCTGCAAATCAGCAGACTTTGTACTTATTTGAACACTTAGAAATTAATGTTTGATAGTCTTGCTTCTGTTTTCATTTAATAGCCCACAAGCAATTCCAGGTAGTAATTAAAATTAGGAAAACGCTGACCAAAACACTACCATTATTTATTGACTAAGTATACAGTATAGGATATTCTAGCAATGAAACCTGCTGCAACTGATTAGAACAATCAGTTGACTCAAGCCGGCTGGCATTTATTCACGGGATAATCTCAATGTTCCATACTGAGGTTATGAAATTGCAATAGTTGCACATTTTTGTTAATTAAAAACAAATAGCTCAAACAAAGTGCTATGGAAAAGATAGAAATGTGAAGTGAAATCAACTTTTTTGTCACAATATAATTTTCCAGTAATTGACAGTGATAATTATTTTCCTCAACTTCCTTATAAACTATGGGGAATACGATTTAATACAAGAACCCTCTTCCGCAGGCTGCACAGAAAATTGAAAGATGGTAAAATGGACTAGATTAATCACCAGGCATACAATATTTTATCTTTAAAACATAAAATTTAATGCTGTTGAAAAAAAGCTGAATTCATATATATAGAAAACTTGAATGATGTAAAGAAAATTAAGCGGTCACTGAAGTATGAGAAACAATACATGAGAGATTAAATAATAAAAATGTTCACGTGAACAATCTCAAAAGTGAGGGCTGGTGCAAACCCATTTCCACAAAGTTGTATTTCTGCTAACTTGGATCTCTTCCAGCATCTTTCCCTCTCTAGGGCGCCCCTCAACCAGGCCAATGGAGGGAGCATAAAATATGCCTCTCCAGCCACCACTTTGCAAACCCTTCTGTCCTTGTGTTTCACGGCAAAGGGGAAGTAAAGCCCACTAAGTAGGAGGCATCAAAGTTGTCAGGATGACTAAAACTGATGGATAGGTGCAACTGGATGAGGAAATAAAGTTCTTGCTAATGAATTTTGGCATCTCTTAAGCAGAATTCTTGAAAGAAGGAGGACTTCCAGCAAGCTCAAAGCAAACCCTAAGTAAGGTATCAGAGCAAGGCTGCAGAAATCCAGATGATGACTAAATAGCCTTAAAAGGCTATAGGAAACTAAGCTTTACTTCCAACTAGTGGCTGTCCGATTTTTGCAGCCTACATTTTTTTTTTTAATTTGATTTATATGCCGCCCTTCTCCGGAGACTCAGGGCGGCTTACAATGCATTAAGCAATAGCCTTCATTCTTTTGTATATTTTATACAAAGTCAGCTTATTGCCCCACAAACTGGGTCCTCATTTCACCTACCTTAGAAAGGATGGAAGGCTGAGTCAACCTTGAGCCTTGGAGAGATTCGAACCAGCAGAAATTGCAGGCAGCTTTATTTCATTTATTCATTTTTTCCACTGAGATCAAGTTTACTTAATGAGTTAGATATTTTAAATAATCATGTTTAAACATTGTCAATACTCAAGTCCAAACCACGTTTCTCAGAAGGTAAAGAAATTGTTTTCAGAACAATTTCACACTTCTAAATAATATTGCAACTTAGGTCATTAATGTTTAGCATTCTTAGCCATAATTCGTTTTTCATTAGATGGAAACATTGGCTTGCATAATTTCTAAAGAAAAAAGAGCATCTGAATATCCTGCTACATTCTCCCAGTTCCATTATTCCATCCTGCTTCAAAATCTATTAAGAAGACCCACATTTTTCTAGAATAGATATGACTATTCTAGTAAAATAGTCATAAATCTAGAGATTCTACTAACACAGATACTTTGGAAGACATAGTCTATAATTTCTGCTGTCTTGAGAGTTATATTAAAAAGGTAACTATGACTTAGCAGAATTGAATTGTCAAAAAAATGGAGAGCATGATTTTCTAGTGGTGAAAAAAACAAAAAAAATCTTCCCATAGTTCTCAATTACTTTATTAAATTTACTGTCACAATTGGTGGTAATTGTTATTATCTTAAAACTTTTTACATAGTCCACTGATAAAAGAACTAGGTAACAGACTTCCAAAGATATGTGACTGGATAATTTGAGAAACAAGAAACTACTTTAGATGATCTCTTAAAGCTGGCATACCTAGTAAGATTGTGCTGAACCCTAATCAGTTTGGTAGGAATCCATCATGTAGGAATATACTAACCATATTAAAAAAACAACTTTGATATTTCATCTTCTGAGTAATAATGCTCATAGTAGCTCTTAAAACATCACAAAATTCATAGTAGCTTCATGTGAACTGCAAAGCAATTCCAATTTTAAAATTAAATTAAATTAAAAACACAATTGTGTTTGGGAGTGATTTTTAAAATATTTCATCCCAGAATCATTAATTTCATTTTACAGATAAGAGAAACACTAGATAGTGGTTTATTCTATTGAGCTGACTGCAAAAACAAAAGCTGAAGAAAATCAGCTGCCCATGCCCCTCTGCAATAACATCATTACTGTTCTGTAGCATCTTCTCTTCATTTTTATTGCTGCAAACCAAGCTTTAAGAACCACTTAAGGGGTTAATAGCAAAGGTTGAGAGAAAAAAAAATTGCTATGTAAAAAAAATTGCTAGATAAAAAAGATATCCACATAAACAGGTCTTTCATGATAAAATTCATTCAAAACTTGTCAATAATGCTACTGACCCACTTTGTTATAATCCACTTTCTACAGATACACAGCTGGCTACTGGCAAATACTATTGTACTTACCTTGTTACCTTTAAAACCTTGCCTTTTCTCCTTTTGCAATTTCTTGTTGCTCCAGTAGTTTTAATACACTACAGTATGTGGGCTAATAATAGACTACGAAATGTCCTACTGTTACAGAGCAATTTTCATACATTTTTCATTTTTATCCTTTTAAAAACTCAACTGAAGTGTCCAAATCTAATTACTGCAACCTGTAGTGCTTACTGGCTGATTGGTTACATAAAATACATTGTTCTTTTCTATTTAATAGCCCAGCCTCACTGTTAATGTGGTGGCTGAGCTATTTTCATTTTTGAGTTTAAGGGAACGCCTGGGGTAAAATAAGGGCAATGAAAAAGTTGTACTTACTAATGGTTTTTCTGTTGTAGGAACTGACTTGTGAAGACCAGGTGTGCCATCAAGTCTTCAAGAAGACAAAATAGACTGATGAAGCTGATGTAGCTGCCACATTTGTGTTGATGATTTTTTTGCTCTCTTTTAACTATAGGAATAAAAGTATGATTTTTGTCAGTGATTCATGGCTCTGTTTGATTAACAGATAATATCTAAAAATAATGTCAAACACCTGCACACTTTAGAAAGGATCTTTGCCTTCCAAATAGGAATTAAGCAAAAGTTTTGTTCTATTTCCCAAACCTTAGCAGGTCTGTTTTCTAGTAAGAGAAATATCCTGGTGCAATGATGCAAGACTTTTTTAAAAAGTTCATGCTGACAATAGTATCTCTGTATGTTTCCTTGTCTTCTTAATACATTTGGGTGGTATCTAAGAATAAATAAAAAGAATACTGATTCACTGATTGGGTTCACATATTGTACTGAGGCTGTAAGTGATTTGCCTGGTATCAGCTTAGTAAGATATTCTAGTTAATGGTACTACATCCACATGAGCAGTAAGCAGTGGGATACCACAAGGCTCTGCCTTAGGCCCAGTACTCTTCAATATCTTCATATATGACTAAGATATAGAAGGAGAACTCATCAAATTTGCTGATGACACTAACCTGGCAGCCAACATCCCAGAAGACAAGCTCAGGAACCAAAAAGATCTTGACAAATTTGAACAATGGGACCTATCCAACAAAATGAATGTTAATGTGGAGAAAAGCAAAGTTTTACATTTAGACAGGAAAAATCAAAGTATAAGTACAAATTAGGCTAGACCTGGCTCAAAAACAATAACTGTGAGAAGGACCTTGGAGCAGATAGAAGGGGGGCACAGGGGGAAGGCAAGCAATCCAGATGTGCTGCGCAGCTGCCTGGCTCACGGGAGGCTTGCGCGGCGGCACCAGCAGCAGGTGGAGGCAGAGGCATAGGGGGAAGGCAAGAAATCTGTTCTGTTCTGTTCTATTCTTTAATAAACTATTTTTTAAAACAAACTATATTTAAAAATGCTGATTTAGCGTAACATAAATAACCTAGGCTTTCTCTGTCTTGTATAGATCTGGGCCACTAAAACACTTTCCTTGTGTCAAAATGGTTCTCTAGAAAGATAAGAAACATCAAAAATCAGATCATTAATTTAAATGATTTTCTTAGAAAGGGTTAACTTATGCTGCTCAAGGTTCTTGACATACCACTAAGCTTATCCTTAAATTAAGCAAGCTTCAATTACTTTGAAACTATCAGTTGAGAATCTAACTAAAAGTCATTTCAGATATTTTAAATTTATACATATGTTTATGTATAAATATGCAATTTAAAAATCTGTATAGTTAATCTTCAAATGTAGAGCATCTGGTTATATTAATTAGGGACATAAAAATTGCTAATTCATTGCACTAAATGATTGTTTGTTATGATTGATTGATTATTGATTAATCTAAACAGCCTGGATTCATAGAACATGCTGAATCATAAACCTTGATTTATAAATTAGAATAATTGAGTTTACATTATGCAAAGCAAAACTAACACAACCACATTATGGCTTAAAATAATGTGCTAACTCAGCCAGCGTGTGCTTGCCTTCACAACAAAATGAAGCTAAAATTTGACTAGAAACTGTATGTGAAGAACAGCAGAACATACTGAATATTTCTGCAAAAGTGAGTATTTTTTACTTAGAAGACTAGTTTTTGGATGTTCTTAAACTGCTTACATCACATACTATGTATGCACATTCTGTTAAGTCTCTTTTCTTTGCTATTTCTGTATCAATGGACCTCTAATTTTTCTGCTGTGTAACATATTTCTGTAGATATTCTGTCAATTCCTGTAGCCTTCTGATACAGGAATGCCCAGAGTATTGATCCAACTTCATTTTCTATATTAGGCATTATTATAAACTAGCTGTACCCGCCCACGCGTTGCTGTGGCCCAATCTGGTGCTTCCGCTGGGCTAAAAGAGTGAGGCTGAAGTTCCAAACTCTCCACAAACATTTGGTGGGCGTGGCCAACTCGACGTCACTCACTTTCATCAGTCACATGACAGCCCCCGAGCCATGCCTACCCAGCTGGTGATTAGGGCAGAGAATTGGTTGCTAAAAAACAATGGGAACCACAAAATCCTCTGTCTCCCTCTCTTTGTATCTCTCTATGTCTCTCTCTCCCCCTTCTGTATCTATGTGTCTTTCTCTCTCTCTCTCTCTCTCTTCTATCTCTCCCCCCTCTGTATCTCACTGTCTCTCTCTCCCCCCTTCTGTATCTATGTCTCTCCCTCTCCCCACTCTCTATCTCTGTCTCTCTCTCCCACCCTCTCTCTGTATCTCTGTATGTGTCTCTCTCTCCCCCCCGTCTCTCTGTATTTCTCTATGTCTCTCTCTCCCTCTCTCTCTGTTTATCTCTGTCTCTGGCCTGGCCTCTTCTGCATCCCCCGCCATCGCCCTTACCTTTTCAGGTCAGGCTTTCGCAGCTCTCTGCACCACAGCAGAAACTTGGGGGGGCTTCCGTCCTCCCTACACAGATGTTCTCTGGGGGCTTGACGGGGCGACGCATAGCAGGGAAAGGAAGCGAAGGGAGGGAGGGAAGGAGTGGGTGCGGCGGGGGTTCAAGGCTGGTTTGGGGCTTCTGGCCCGAAGGAAGAAAGCGGCAAAGCCAGGAACCACGCACACCCCACTGGACCCCTGCTGTGCAGTTCTCTTCCCCCGCCTGCCAAGGGCAGGGGAATAATTAAATCCCCCATTCTTCCAGGCGAATCGAAGGAAGGCCGGCCATCCTCCTTGGTTGCAGGAATTGGGTATGTCTAGTTTAATTAAAAAAAGGCCTAGGGGGTGACATGATAGCAGTGTTAATATCTAATGGTGTTAGATAGCAGTGTTAGCAGCATAATATCTAATGGTTTGCTGCGAAGAAGAGGGGGTCAAGGTATTCTCCAAAGCACCTGAAGGCAGGACAAGAAGCAATGGATGGACACTAATCAAGGAGAGAACCAACCTAGAACTAAGAAGAAATTTCCTGACAGCTAGAACAATTAATCAGTGGAAGGACTTGCCTCCAGAAGAAGTTGGGTCAGGTTTTTAAGAAGAGATGGAACAACCATTTGTCTGAAATGGTATAGGGTTTCCTGCTTTCCTGTTTTTCTTCATCAATGATTGGATCATAAACTTTAATAATCATATTAAAAAGTTGTTTGCACACTTCGTGACAGCAGTAGCACTTAGACTTATATATTGCTCCACAGTGCTTTACATCCCTTTACATCTCTAAGTAGTTTACAGAGTCAACATATTATCCCCAACAATCTGGGTCTTCATTTTATCGACCACGGAAGGATGGAAGATTGAGTCAACTTTGATCCAGTCATGATCGAACTGCTGACAGATGGCAGAATTAGCCTGCAGTACTGCATTCTAACCTCTACACCACCACAGCTGATAAAATTGGTATTTGGTGGTATACTGTACTGACCTAACTATTCTAACTATGAAAGCGACACCATTGCTTTTCATGTCCTGAGCTGTAAAAATAGTATGGTCTTCTGAATGAAGTATCAATTCCAGGCCATTTCAATTTGCTGATGTCTAATATGTTAATTCGTAGTCAATTAGACATAGTCAATTAGACAAAGATGTAGACAATTTATCTTTTTCTGAGCTTTTCCATTTTCAGTCTTCTCACGTTCTGTTTTCCCACTGTAATTCTATTTTTTTCAGTTTTGGATTTTCTTTTCCTTTATGAATCCAGGAACAACTAAATGTCTGGAAGCCCATAATTTATCTGTGTCAAAAATAATCTAGTTTTATGAAATACATTCAGCTCTCTCAGTAGGATATTGAGTGCCTTCTTACCTGAGGGGCCCATCATCTGACACTGTATTATCACTTTATTTTGTAGGCATTTGCTTATTTTAGTCAGGCAGATCAAATGATCTTCATACCTTAAGTGGCTCTGCTGGAATATATTCTCTTGGCATACTCTCCTGGCATTCCTTCTAAGAATGGTTCCATTTCCATTATTTATTTATTTATTTATTTATTTATTTTTGAATTTGTATACCGCCCTTCTCCCTGAGGACTCAGGGCGGTGAACAGCCAAATAAAAACATCAAATACAAATATTAAAATACAGTTAAAAAATATATATATAAATTTGGCCCCATTAATTAAAACAATAAACCAAACAATTAAAAACACTTAAAAAGAATTAGGCCAGCCCGGCTTGTTGGAAAAGGAAGGTTTTAAGGGCACGGCAGAAGGCACTGAGGTCATGGATTCTCCTTATCTCAGGGGGCAACTGATTCCAGAGGGTGGGAGCCCCCACAGAGAAGGCCCTCCCCCTGGGGGTCACCAGCCTGCATTGTTTGGCTGATGGCACCCCGAGGAGGCCCTCTCTGTGGGAGCGCACGGGTCGATGGGAGGTCGTCGGTGGCAGCAGGCGGTCTCGGAGATAGCTAGGCCCTATGCCATGGAGCGCTTTAAAGGTGATAACCAACACCTTGAAGCGCACCCGGAAGACCACTGGGAGCCAGTGCAGCTCGCGCAGGAGCGGTGTTACATGGGAGCGCCATGCTGCTCCCGTCACTACCCGCGCTGCTGCGTTCTGGACCAGTTGGAGCCTCCGGGTGCTCTTCAAGGGGAGCCCCATGTAGAGAGCGTTACAGTAATCAAGGCGAGAAGTCACGAGGGCATGAGTGACTGTGCACAGGGAATCCCGATCAAGAAAGGGCCACAACTGGCGGATCAGGCGAACCTGATAAAAGGTCCCCCTGGTTACAGCCGTCAGATGTTCCTCCAAGGACAGCTGTGTATCCAGGAGGACTCCCAGATTGCGAGCCCTCTCTGTGGGGGCCAAAGACTCACCCCCAATAGTCAGTGATGGAGTCAACTGACTATATCGGGATGCCGGGAACCACAGCCACTCAGTCTTGGAAGGGTTGAGCCTGAGCCTGTTCCTCCCCATCCAGATCCGTACAGCCTCCAGGCACTGGGACATCACTTCAAGGGCATCATTGGGGTGGCCTGGGGTGGAGATGTACAGCTGAGTA